GGGTGCTCCCGGGCGGCCGTGGCACCACGTAGCCGCGCTGCCGCCTCCTTCCACCGCTCTCCGCTCCGCCCGCTCCCTTTCTCCCCGCCCCTTCTCTGGTCGCCCGGAGCGCCTGCGACCCCCGAGCGCCTGCAGCCAGACGGTTGGGGAAGACGACAGGCGGAAGGGAGGGGGAGGGCACCCGGGAGCACGCCGATTGAAAGCAGCCTGGCAGAGTGACCGCGATTGATGAGCAAGAGGTCCCTCCCCGCCACCCGCACCAGCAGACAGCTTCTGGAGGAACGCGGGGGGAGAGGTTCGCTCCGGGGCAAGAAAGCTGGGTGAGTGGGGATCCTGCGAGACCCCCGCCCCGGGACAATCCCCCTTCCGGGTGTAACCACATTCACACCTCCTCCTCCACCACCCGGTTATGCTTCAAGAGAAAACACCGGGTCACTGAGCCGGTGAGAACAGCAGCGCGGAAAGGGGTCTCAGACTTTGCTGGGGGCAGAGCGGGAAGATAGGGTATTAGGGATTGGAGAGAAAAAGAGACGGGAAATGGGGGGAGCGAATTGGGAGGGTTGCAAAGGAAAGTCTCCTGAATCGCAGTGTGGCTCCAGCCCATCCTCCCCACCTGCCGGAAATGAGCTTCATCCTAGAAATGGGGATGAAGAAGGAAAAATGGTCCAAAGGAGTCCTGACCCCAATACGACCCTCCGCTAGGATCTGCTGCAACAGCGCAAACCCAGACAGCAGAAGCCCCCGCGAGACGGAGTAGTGCTGAAGAAACAACTGATTCCTAATTCTTGAGGAATCCAGAAGGAGTACCAGGACGGTCATCTGGGGAATCCGAATGGGGTTTATAGATCATGAACCATCAAGTGTTTGATCTCTGGGGAAGGATAGAACGCGTGGCTGGACATTGTTTTAGAGCCTCTCTGAGAAAATGTTGCGTCTCCGCCCTTCTGGACACTTTCATAGGTGCTAGCAAGCAGGTGACAGACAGGATTTCATGCAAGAAGAATGAACAACCACCAAGACAGTGTGTACATCTATGGGTTTGTTTGTTTGTTTGTTTCTAAGGCTTCAAAAAGCTAGAAAGAAAGATGAAATCAGGAAAATTTTCCAGCACCACCCCCTGTAGCCTGGTACTGGGCAAAGAAATCTACTTGTTTCCTAAGCACCCCAGGTGATGCTTAATTACACTTAAGTTTGAGAACTTTTGGCAAAGGGTTCCCCTACTTAGCCACCTCTCTTCTTTCTCAAAACTGGCTAGCCGGTTGACAAAATGCAGTCCAGCTTTGGTGGGGCAAGACAACACTTTTTCTTGCAATAAATCAGACTTTTGAGATAGCTTTGGCCTTGAGAGCAATTGAGGCTACACTGAGGTCATAGGTAGGAGCCAGGGTACCCACAAAGATGAGAGAGCCAGGAGATCCTACCTGTTCAACACCACAGAACTGTGACACTGGCTAACTTTGGATGAAATAACCAGCCTTTTGAATGAAATAATCCTTTCTCCCTCAAAAGTGCCCTCCATCCACCAAAAACACACAGCATACTACCACCAATCTGGTAGGCTTCATTGGTAAGGTCTGCATGCAGCAGCATATTCCATATTAATAGGAAAGCACTAACAAGCTTTACCTAAGCTTATTCATGCTATATTGTAATTCTTCCTATATATAAATAGAACAGTTCCTGCAGATTCCTGAATAAGTCAGTGGAAAGGTCTGTCTTAAACTGATATGACACATCTAGAAAAGGACTAGAAATTAGGTCTAGTCTATGACTGAGATGATCCCTAAGCAGGATTATTCATCTTTGAAATAAAAATTAACAGAGAAAGGAAAGTTCAGATAACTCATTGGTAAATTGGAGGTGGGTGGGAGGGGGAAACTAGTCAAATTCTTATTTCATATATCAAAAGTAAGTTCTAGGAGGATTAATGAGTTAAATATATCTTCTAAAGCAAACTGGAAGAAAATAGAATATTTGTTAAACCTCTAGCTAGAAGTATTTCTCAATTTAGAAGCAATGGAAGGAAATGATCAATGTATGACTTGGTAATATCTTAAAACATCTTTGTGTCAAACATTTTTTTATAAAACAACCTAAACCAGAAAAAATATTGACAGCAAACATTTTTAAGTCTGAATATCTATGTTATAAGTAAGACAATACAGCTAAAGTAAGTATAGTCTCGATGATTAAGCATAAACAGAAAATAAGCCATATACAAAGAAATTGAATACTAATAAATATATGGTGAAAATTAACCTTACTAGTAACTAGTAAAATAGACATTAAAGATAAAGATGTAAAGATCATGAACACTGTTTTGCTCATACACTGATGGTGTTATGATATCCTCCATTTGGAAAGCATTTTAGCTGTTTGTCGCAGATCAGAGTGCTCCTGCATTTTGACTCGGCAGTCCCACTTCTGGGAATCTAGCCAAAGAAATACTCCAAAAGAGGGGGAAAGTTATATACTGCAAGTTGTACATCATAGCATTATTTATATTGAAGACTTGGCCACAACTTATAGATCCTAGAGTAGGGGCTATACCCAGTTCCTTGTAGCCACCTGGATTACAGTGTCGCTCCCTGTTTCTCTGCTTTTGCAAATGTCATTCCTAGTCTCCCCCTGAAGCCCTCTCCCTGCCCTTTGTGAGCTGCCTCCTCTTTCTTATCTTCAACACTTTGATCTGCATTTTTTCTGACTCCCTCTTTTGTTCCCTTAACACCTACATTCTTCCATGTCAGCACCTGGAGACTACCTGTAATTACTTGTTTACCTGCCCTTCTCCTCCACGATGCTATGACTTTTTCAAGGGTGTGGTCCATCACCTTTTAATCTTAGAATCATTAGTGCCTTGCTAATGTGGTAGGTACTCAATAAATATTTATTAAAGGAATGGATGAATCATTTACTTAGACCTTTTGCAGACATTAAGGATGATGATTATAGAGTATGTGGCAATGCGTGAATATATTATAATATTAAATTTTAAAGTCACTATGTACGGAATTATCTCCAAGTGATATTAAAGGTTAAATGAAAAAATCGAGGTACAAAACAGAGTGCACAGTAGGCTGCCATTTTGTAAAAAAAAAGCATATTGGCAAGGGAGAGTGGAAAATTTATATATACACATATTTCCTTGTTAATGGGTAAACTATGTATAGAAGGAAAGAAAAGAAACTGGTAGCAGTTGTTGAGGTTGGGGATGGGTTGGGGCAGAATGGAAGACTAAAAAAGATGAATGGGAAGAACTGCTTTATTTTTTAATATACCCTTTTGTTTGTTTACATAATTTGTACCGTGTACATGATATACCCATTTTGAAAAATAAATCGTTCTACAAAATTGTATGTGATTACATGAAAAAAAGGAGTTAATTCTTGCCAATAATAACAGTTGTTAGATTGTGGGATTGCGGATGATTTTGATTTCATGTTTCTGTTTTCCAATTTTTTTGATGTGGTCATACTGCTTTTACAATTACAAAGACAAAATTATAAACAAAGACATAAACAAAAAACTAAGTAATCATTATATTCATTTCATCACATTTCCTTCGTGACTCAATAAATTCCAATCTATTTTATGGAGAAAAGAAGGTGAGTAATTTTCTCCCTGAAGACTGTTACGACCATCTTCTTTATAATTCTGAGACTGAAAAATGGTTAATAAGTTTAATTACTGAAAAGTTAATCAGCCTTGCATATGGTAGTGAGAACAGGTAAAGCATGTTCTTCTAATAGTTGCCTAGCTGCACAGCAAGATATGACAGCAACATTTTAACCCAAGACACCAAATTTAATGAGCTCGTCTGTCTAAAAAACACCATGCCTTCTCTCGCTCTCATTCTCTTTGCTTCTCTTTTCCTTTTTTTTTCCCTTCTCTGTAACCAACACTACTGGTGGCCTACATACCTCCATTGCCTTCTTCCTCCCAAAACCCTGGGGCTCTTCCAGTGTGCCCCCTCTTTTACTAGAAAAATGCTTTGAGAAGAACAGCCCTAGGCCAGCTCCAGTGGGAGAGCGGCTCTTACCAAAGTTTGGTTCAGAAATGGGCATGTGACCAATTCTGGCCAAAGAGACATGAGGAGTATCTGCTGAGGGTTTCCTTACGGCAAAGAGATGGTTTCTTTTTGGCCTTGGATTTAATTGTGTTTGGATTTGACGCTTGGATCCTCTACAGTCTGACAATAAAGATCATACCAAGGATGGCAGAGAAAAAAGAGAAAAGACCCTAGGCCTTCATGACATGGTTGCATGGCTGACTTAAGCCTACCTCAGGACTTCCTGTCATATGATAGAACTTGCTCGATTAAGGCGTTGTGAGAGATTCTCAGTTTCAAGCAGCTGAAAGTAGCCCGACTTAAACCCTCCCCTTCTGATATTCTCTCCTCTTTGATTTTCTCTTTTTGAATCACCACCAGTGTTTCCATGTCTCTCTCGGCACCACACTTTTCCTGCTTTTCCTCCTCTCCCCTCTCTCCCCCTACCTGTTCCTGTCTCTCTTAAACAATACAGGAGAAACCTTTAGCGCTGTCTGGCCAGCACATACCTACCCTTTTCTCTCAGACTTTCTCAACCACGAAGTGCTTCCCCACCTCCAGCCACGTTTATACTTCACAGTTGACAAGCCTCAGTGGATCCAGAAGGGCTCGGCCTGAAAGTCTGTCTCACTGGAGTTGGAATTCAGTAACAAAGCAATCCCTGCATGGGCTGAAATGGAGGCAATGTTTTTAGGAGAGCTGGGGGGCCTTGTTTCCAGGAGGAGGCCAAGATGCTCACTCTCTCTCTCTCTCTGCAGAAAGAGGAAGGAAGCATAAACACCAGAGAGAAACAACAGCAGAATCTGTGACAGCGTGGGCCACGCAAATAGTTGTGCATTTTGTGCTCCCAAAAGCTTCCAGCCCTACTAAAGGCATTCTACTTACATATTTCTCCAAGAGGACCTTGTCCTGGAGGTTTATGAGATTTTTAGATGGAATTCTTCCATCGCATCCCATTTTGACTTTAGCTACTTTGAAGTGGGCATCTCACATTTGCAAATTAAAGAACCTTGATTAAAACAACCGATCAGTCTATCTCAAATCCATTACAAAAATGACATTTTTAATTGGTCATAATATAAAATTAAAGTGTTTTTGTTATAATTGATTAATTAAATATTGTCCCTGCTGTTCCTTAGTTGAAAAGTGAACAAATTAAAATGTTATTTTTTTTTCTAAAAAACAATTGCTTCCCCAGGACCGATACCACCCTCATGCCCCTCTTGCCCCACGCCCACACGTACCCATTAAAGAAGACTAGTTTTCAGGGCCCCAGGAAGAACATAAAGCATATCTCTCATAAATGTGATTAAACAAGCATATGCAGAACACAGTTGTTTCACTTTTAAAAATCAATTATAATCGCTCATGTAATAAAATGAATTCTATCTTTTACAAAATAGCATCTCAGTTTCCTCCCACTTTAGAAATAGTCAACTAGGCCTGTGAATCAAGGTGCCTCACCTTACCAGGGTCAAGTGCATGAAAAGAATTTGGCCAATGCAAAGCTCCCTTGACGGTACTGAGAAGAGGGAGTAAAAGACCAAAAACCACCTGATGTTCATTGATCGCAGCTCCTAGGCAAGCCTGAAGCTGCCCTTGAGACCTGTGGGATCCTTCCAGTTTCTCTGCCTTCTCTCTAGTCCCATGAGCTAGTTTGTTTCTTCCTAGTGAATTTCCTTTCTGATTAAATTAGTCTGTGCCTATTTCTATGGATTCAACCAAAAAAATTCCTAATCAATACCATGCGAACTTTAAAAACTATATTTTCAAAGAAAAATATTAACATTTTTTACGATTTCAAAAGTAAGATACTCTTATTTAATACTATATAGAAAATATTTTTAAAGAATCACCCATGACAACATTTCCAAAGAAACTATGGTCAATATTTTGATATGTTTTATTCATTAATAAATATTTTATATGATCGATATCATTCTTCAGAGAAAAAACTCAAAACTAATATATCTTCCACTTCCCAGAGCCCCAAAACAGCACAGAGAAATTCTCCACCAGAACAGAAGGAAGTTTATGTCAATTTCCAGGATGTGGTTATCAGTCAAGATTCTAACCTCATCGCCCCATTTATCCACCTAGCCCTTGAATGCATTCCTTTTTACCACTTATCAGTCTTTCGTTTCCATTCTTATAAGGCGAACATGCCTTCATGTTCCCTTACATTCCTAACTCATTCCCACCTCTAAACAATCTCAAAATTCCATTCCTACCCCAAAATTCTACTCTTCCATCCATCGCCAAATCAAATTATTATGCAGGTAAGCATAATTCAACCCCTTAAGAAATCTTCCCCTATTTGACATGAGGCATGCTAATCATATCCAGCAATTTTCACTATATGATTTATTTTAAAAATCTTCTTAAAATTTTGCTTTTGTGATATATCCCTTTCCCATGGACCTATAATTGGTAGGATGTTAAACTTAATATTCAGAAATGGGGAATAGATATATTAGCAGATTCATCAGTTAATATATTAGGCTTTATTAAGCAGAATCGATTGATTCGACAACAAATATTTATTGAGCAGATCTCCCATTAAAGCACCTGCATTCATAGTTCCTTCCCTAAGAATGCAACTGGAACAAATAAAGCTAAGAATACAAGTCAGAATGGATTAAGTGCTACAATTCCAATAAGGTGCAATATGTGCACAGAAAGTTATCAGAAAGGAATCGTGAATAAACACCTCTTCCAGTTCTTTTTTTTCTTTTTTCCTTTTTTTTTTTTTTTTTTCTTTTTCTCTTTCTTACCTGTGGTGGTAGCATTAAGGTACAATTATTAGGAATAAAAACTAGTTACATTAATCAAGATTGTTTTATATCTGAATCATTTATTTGAAAGAGGTCAAGACTTTGAAGAAATAAGTTTTAAACCTTACATTTAACCACATGGTACAGCTGCTGTAAGAAACAGTTTGGCAGTTTCTCTAAACGTTAAACAGAATTACCATGTGATTCAGCAATTTCACTCCTAGTTGTAACCTTAAATAATTGAAAGCAGGGACCCAAACAGATGCTTGTATAGCAATGCTCATAGTGACACAATAGCCAAAAGGTAGAAACAAGCCAAGTATCCATCAACAGATGAATGGATAAACAAAATGTGGTATGTATTATTCAGTCTTTAAAAAGGAAGGCAATTCTGAAACATACTAACACATGGATGAAACTTGAAAACATGCTAAGTGAAATAAGCCTTAAACAAAAGGACAAAGACTATACGATTTCATTTATATGAAGTACCTAGAACAGGCAAATTTCATAGAGACAGAAAGTAGAAAAGAAGTTACCAGGAGCTGAAGGGCAGGGAAATTGGGAGTTTTTGTTTAATAGGTAAAGAGTTTCTGTTTAGGATGATGAAAATTTATGGAAATTGGTGGTGGTGATGGTTAATGCCACTGAACTGAACACTTAAAAATGGTTAAAATGGTAAATTTTATGTTATGTCTATTTTACCTAAATAAATAAGTCTATATTTATAACGAATAACTAAGGAGTAGTTCAAAATATTGAAATGATAAGTTGTTCTCACAAGTCTAAATATCAATAAAATTAAATATCCAATATATGCATTCTGAGGCTGTGAGTCGTGTGTGCCCTCACTTTTGGAAATCTAATAAAATTGTAAAAATAAATTAAGAGGTGATTGAACATAAAAGGATCTATTTTGCAGAGAGATTGAGCCAAATGTTCTTTTAAGCAAGGAGCTTCCCTAATAAACTTGATTGTTTCCTAATAGATCAGGAACAAGCCAGCAAAGGCTATTGAGAGCAGAAACACTCTCTGGAAAGAGGTATCAGGAAGCTAGAGTCTCTCACTAGTGTATAATCTCACATAGGAGATGGGCCACCTGCTTTTTCTCTCCTTCCAGAGGATCTCTGGCCTCTCTCAAGCCTCCTACAGGATCCAATACATCTGAGGTGAGCTGGGGTGTGGAGGTGAGAGCATAGCTTCTAAGCTGATGACCTGAGTTTTCATTTCAATAGTTCAGCTACCTTTTCTATTAGGCTGTAAACTTCATGAGGACAGGGATCAGGTTTTCATTGTAGTATGTTGCCTCGCCAGTATTCCACACATATTAGGTGCAAAATATTATTTACTGAACAAGTGAATGAATTAATTCATTAATAACTTTAATAAAAAATGGCAACAGAACATCAAACAAAAATAGTTACAAAGCAATTCTGAAATTCTAATATATAGGAAATCTACCTGAGTCCTAAAAATTCAAATAACACATATAACCTTAGGAAAACACTCCTTAAAACATAAGTGAGAGAAAT